CCTCTCGCCCATAGATTGCTCACCGCAACCCTGACAGGACTATTGGGAGAAGATGGATGGATCCTGATGTGCTGAATTTTCTTTTTTAAAATAGTTCCAAATGTATAACACCCCCCCAATGACATAAAATCTTTCCTGGGAGGTTATTACATATTTTATGCACTCTACCTTAATAAACTCTGGTTCCAGGTAAGAATATGACAAAAACTACATTATATTCTCATTAAAACAAGACCCTGAGGCTAAAGGTGGAACCTAATCAGCGGCTCTTCTGAACTGACCAATTAAATGTCCTAAAATGTCTGAAGTGTTACAGCAGGAAAGTCAATCTTTACCAGGAGCTGGAAGAACTGAAAGTCTTTGAGTTTCACCATCTGGTTTTAGAAATTCAAATATAAGAATATCAGAAGACACAACAGAACAACAAAAGGGGTTAAAGTCTAGGGAACAAGTACCTGTGTTTTGTTGTGTGAGATGTGAGAAAAAAGAAGAGGCATCACATTCACAATCCCCCCTGTTGAGACAAAAACGAAGCAAGAGGTTAATTCCTGTCATCTATACAGTCTGATCTATTTGTGTTATTTTGGTGGAAAATAAGCTTTGACCTAACAATATTGAATATGGCCTCTTTCAATTTTTCTTGAACAACCATCATAGAGAAAGATTTAGGTGCTTCATTGAAAGCCTGTTTTTTCTACCAGCTTTCTGTCATCAGTGTTTGTTAAATATAACAATAAGGAGCAGAGGCCATGTGACGCCGCCTGCGTGTGTGAGAGCAGGCAGTGGAGATCTGGCTGTTTTTATTTCAAAACAAAGAAAAAAATGGTGACTTGCTCGTCATTTAAGATCTAAAACAAGCACATCTATGAAATGGTTAACATTTGTCACCAAGATAGCAGCTTCTGAGGTGTATTCCCTGTAGAATATAGATCTGCTTCTAACGCAGAGATTTCTAAACACTGCCAACATTTTCATGACAGACACTGGTAATGCGTATTTAAATGGAGCACCTTTGCAGTGCTCTGTTTAACAGTTAGCTTGGGTTTTTCTTGATAAGGTTCTGTCAAGTTATTGGAGGTAATAGCTCCCTAAATGTAATAGAGATGCGTTATCAGAGGAAGCTCGTCAAACAGTAAATACGACCTCAGTTGTTGAAGATAACAGATGAAGACGACAGCCTTTGTTTTGGCTGACTATCGACCTTTGAGAGAGATAAATTGTCATCGTGATCACTGAGTCTGGGAGCTATAAATCTAGTAGCCCCTCCCTCCTGCCATCTTCCAGCAGTGACGTCACGGTGCGGTAAGCCTAGCGCCATTCTCCCCGCTTTCCAAGCTAAATCAATGGGAACTACTAGACACATCTGCAATCAACAACAATTATTGAAGATTTCCAGAGGACTTCACCATTGAAATTCACCAGAGCTATAGTGAAACTGACAATGCCCACGTGCATGGCAGCTGGATGCTGGAATACATCGGGTAAAAGTGAAAAAAAGAGTTATTCCACCTTTCTGATTCCTGATCCTCCACGGACGGGTTGGTCGTTGGATCGCCAACTTGAAGAGGGAGGATTTGCCATCGAACTTCTGGCCAGAGAAAAAACCCGTAATATGTAGCCAACATTTGGAAGAAGAATGTTTTCAAGATGACTTGGATAATAGCGCGTTGTGACAAACACCAGATACAGCACTGGGACTTGATCAACAGCCGATACCGCACCGTGACAATGTCACTAACCAGTAGGTGGCAGTAGTGTTCTTTGACAAACATGGATGCCTCCAGTAAAGCACATTCACATGAAAATTACTCTGAATTAAAAACACTGATCATTTATTGAACAGGATGGAATCATTTCAGATTTAAAGAACTTTCAGATGTTTGGATTCTGAATATGAGCGACTTTTCCTTTTAAAGAGATCAAAATTGAAATTGTAAAGTGGAATTATTCATCTTAGTGTTTTTTACTCCATCAGAGGTGAATACACAGTGAAGAGGCACTACAGCTGATGAATACAATCATTCTTACACCTTTTGAAACTCACAGCCTTGAAGCAGATTTTACCACCTTGTTTAAAAAGCTCTTCTGTGTTAAACTTGTTCCTTTATGAGTCTGATGTCACGCTGTGATCCTAAATGTTTTCTTTAGCTGTGGGCAGAAAATCATCATAACAGAAATAAAGACGTGAAAACCTTCTGTGCCTAATTAATCTTTATACGTTTCACTTGGTGAATGGACTTACTAAAATAAATGAACTTTCCAATAATACTATATTAAATTAGGTTTGGGGATACCTGATATTAAAACTGTTTACTCATAGAAACAAGAAAGAAAACAGTTTACCCAGAAATAATCTAAATTTGATCTAAAAATGAGAAGGAATTTCTAAAAATAACCTTATTTTCCCATCAATTTAATAGGAAATTCAAATTATCTGCCAATTTATTGAGATTAAATGCCCCTAAAATAAGATAATTATTTACACGGCACCTGAAATGAGATAATACAGATTTATTTTTCTTATTCTAAGCTAAACAATCTTATTCTACTGGCAGATCATTTTACCAACCAGCTGAAAGTAATTGCAAATACACTCCTAGAAAATATGACTTGTTTTTAGATAACTTTTAGCAGAATAGCATTTAGCCTAAACATCTCATATTCACACTGCATCGTAAAACTGTTCAGCTTAATAATAAACACAGATCGTCACCAAACTGTTCTGGAATTGTTGGAAAACGTGAATTTTTATTTTTTAAATGCTTCTTTTCCTTCATGACCAGCTGACAGCCTTGTCCTATATGTCATATAGATATATATTAAAGATTTTATTGATCAGTCCATGTATGGATGAGAAATCTAATAAAAATTTAAATGAAATGTTTGGTAAAACGATGCCGCCCACATTTTTTGGGTCCCTGTGCTGCAGATCAGCGTATAAATCCAAACCAATGTGACTTCATTTCTTATAGAGAGAATGATTTTTATTAGCGGAAAATAAAATAAATTTGCGATGTCTTTGGATGTCTTTTAAAATCTGAGTTTTAAGTGCAATAAGGGCATTAACAGACGCTGATGAGAGGATGCTCAGAGGACAGGCTGACTGCAGGTGACAGGAAACCAAATGTGAGGTGTTCCTGCAGCTGGAGGCGCTCCTTAACAAAACCCTTTCATCATAAAAGTGATGAAGCCACCACTTGTTCCAAGGCAGAAAGGAAAATTAAGGTGCGGTTAATCAACTCGTGCCATTTAGGGGGAAATTGGGGGTGGAGGTGCACCTACACCTACCCAACACTGCAGGGGCACAGTTTAGAAAAATGGAAATAAGAGGAGACTTTATTTCACTTAAATATCAAGGCGTATGATTTTTGTCTGCAACTATGTTTTGTAAAAAAATGTTTTAAATTTCCCAGAAAAAAATGATTATCCGATCTATCTTCAAGCATCACATGACAACCATCACCAAGACTAAAGCGGTTTTACTGCCTTTGCTTATTAACACGGACGCCACAGTGACTGCTGCAGCGTAACGTCCTCTCTCACCACATCAGCAGGGTTGCCAGATGTCACCGTCTCACGTTCTCCAGCCCAAAAATGTTCATAAACCGCCTGGATATTCGAAATCTCGCCCAATCTGAACCAAAGTCTACTGATCTCTCAGACCATTAATCTAAAGAAAAACATTTTTCACCCACAGACGGCCGTCCTAAACTGCCAGACTTGGAAACATCCCAACCTGGCAACAATGCATGTAAGACGGGAAACGTCAGCCTTTAGATGCTAAACAAAATATTCAAACATAAATTTGCCAAATATAAGAGGAGCATCATAGTTTGGTTTAAAGAAAGCATTTTAGTTTTATTATAATTTAGTTTATTTCAAGGGTTTAACAGTTTGGAGAAATAGAAAATGACAGCATATGCTAACCGCCACCAGGATGAGCATGAAGGAAGGGCTACATGTGCTGCATGCATCATTTAGGGAGTTAATATTGGATTACTGCTTCAGCTCCTTTAGTTATTTACTGTCACAGGTAGGAGCTTCAGCCGGAGAGGAAGTGCTGGGGCCGGTTTAATTTAAGGAGGGCCGACCCTCGCAATCTGAAATTAGGACCAGTCCACTGGGCTCAATATCACAGCATCCGCTGCAGATCCACCAGGTTCTGCAACAGCTTCTTCCCCACTGCCATCAGACTGTTGAACCTTTGATCCACAAACCGAACTCTGCACCTATTGCACATTATCGGGCATCAATGCTGCTGAACGTTTAACTTTTAGCCCTTTAATTGTTCATCTCATTTCTATTTTCAATAACGCATTTTTTGCACAAATGCCTATTTGCACTGAACCACTGCATTTTGCACAGTCTCTTATCCTCTGCACTGTTCACACTTTGACCACTGCTGCACTTTTTGTATAACTTGTGCCATTTGAAATATCAATGCAACGTTCATAAGCTGTATGTAACGCAATTTTGTTCTGTATGCACCCTGTGCATACAAAATGACAAATAAAGAAGTCTAAGTCTAAGTCTAAGATTACCAGTCCGAGGCTGGCCTTGGACAGATGACCTGCCTGTTCCTACTGTCAGTGATCGTGTTTCTTTTGTTTGTTTTTTCCAGCTACGTACACTGTCACAAGTGCAGAGCAACGTAATTCACTCTCCCCATCTGCTCCACTGCTCCCCCTCCCCTTGGGGAGGCTGCCATTGTGCGGCACCCAGGGAGCAGTGTGGGGTGAAGGGTCTTTGCTCAGCGATGCAGAGTGGAAGTCTGTGGGAGTGGGACTTGAACTCAGAACCTCTGGGACCAACACTCCCCCTCCAACCCACAGTGATTCATGTCTGCAGTGTTTTGGAGGGTCACATGAGGACCCTTTAGAAATGACGCAGCCGTTATTACCCGGCTGCCATGTTCTTATGTGAATGAAACAATCATAAGGATATATGAGTGAAAAACATCTTTTTCTTTTTCCAGTCCTGTTTCATTTCCTGCAGATTTTCCATTTGTTTTTTTTTTTGGGTGGGATTTTCTTGCCTTGCTATCCTTCTTGTCACCAAAACATTCACCATCATTCCCAGAAGCCAAACACCTGTTAGTTGCTGGGCACTGAAAGGATCTGCAAATATCTGCACAAAATTCCTCCAGTGTGTCTTTATGTCTGCTATTCCAGTAATCTTCAAGAGATTTTTCACTGCGGGGTTGGATTCCTCTCAGCCTTTAGTATTTAGTCACCAAAAAAAAGAGAGAGAGGCAGGAAAAAAGGAAGATGGGGGGGTAGAGGCAGAAAGGAAGCGGTTAGAAAGAAAAGGAGTGATCCTGAACAAAGCTGAGCCTCACCTAGAGCCACGGTGCCCATTAGGAAAGGTTTCCCCATCTGACTGAAGTCACTGCTGCTCTGCAGGCCGACCTCAGAGCCCACTGCAAATGTCACCACCACCTGAGACACACAGACATAATGCAGGGCGGTGAGCAAAAAACCAAACATGCCCTGAGCCGTCTAGCTCAGAGGAATTCAGATGGTTTCTAATAAACCTACAGAAATAATATCAGCAAACAGTTTCCTGTTTTTCTTTAAGGTGTTTTTGCTTTTGTTTGAACACAGATACTAAAAAAGATGATTTTAGAACAGTTTATAGAAACGCAGGAAGGGTTCCCAGCTCACAGATCTATCAACACAAAAAATATCAACAAATCTGTATTTACTTCCTTTAACTGACTTAAATGCTTTGTTCCTTTTGTGCATCTGCATTTAAAATAAAACTAGCATTAATTCGGCATTTGAAAATGACATGTGAAGCCATGTAACGTGTCACGCATGTGATTTACAAGCAAATCCACATTACATTCAGGTTAAAAACACACAGGATTTACAAAAATCACATGTACCTTTGGTTCCACATGTGAAGATTCCCATCTGAAGCTGATTTGATTCACATTTTCTTCTTTAAAACACTAAATTCACAGATAAACATGGGTTTCACATGTGACAAATGGGTTTTTCTGTAAGGTTTTTTGATTAATGTGAAAAAGGTATTACACAGAGCCCGATCTATTCACATGAAAATTAGTTTTAACATGTAGTGAACAAATATGCAATCACAAGTTCCACCTGTGATTAAAAACTGACTAGAACATGACATACATGAACAAAATGCTCAATCATTTGTGGAAAATGAGACCCATGTAGAAGATGAGTCTCATGTGAAGACATGTGACAGTCATGGGATTTATCTGCCTTTATTTTCTTTAATCCCCAGTCGGCCTCAGCAGATGGTCGCTCACACAGCCTGGTTAAAAATAAGTTTATCCTCTCCACTGTCGCTACAAGCATGCTCTGTGTGAGGGATTGCTGTAAACAACATAATAAAAGTGAATATTATCTACTTTCTCTAGCAGCTCATCCAGGAGGATCTACTACTGTTCAAAGATCAGATGTTTTTTTTTCTTTAGATCCAAAACTTTGAACCTTTAATCCAGTCTAACCAGATAAGCCCAACTGGAAGATCTGGTTGAATCGTCTCTGTAAAGTTTCTTGAGATAACATGTTGGTGCTATATAAATACTCTAAATAATTGAATTTTAATCCAGTGCAACTAATTACCTGATGAAATAAATAAATATCCCCATGTTTTGCTTTATAAAGCAGCAAATAAAGGTACAAAGGCAAATACACCAAAGCAGCACAGCAAACCAGTACAGGAAGCATGCAGAGGAAGGAGTTCTGGACACGTTTGGCTTCTTTATCAACATTAAGCCACCGTTTCCATGGTGAAACCTGGTGATGGCAGCATTTCTTCACCACAAACTAGAGAGCATTAGAGGAAGATGAATGAACTTGTTAAGAAGCCAAACTGGCAAAACCTGTCATAGAAAGAAAAGACCAGAGACCAGGAAAACGACCTTTTTGATTCACTAACAGGCTTTGGATCAACCTACCGTAGGTTTACTTAATAGAAATATGATCTATATATAAATATATATAAGTAAAGCACAGAGTAGTTCTATAAAGTACTTTATCAGTAGAGCTAACTATAAAAGACATGTTCCTGCTCTACTGACAATTGCTGAGTCACAAAATGTGTTAATTTGTAGTTTTTTAAACAGAAATCCTGATAATGAACATTATGAAGAATAACGACAATCAACATTATTGAAAATAAATGCAAAAAAAAGTGTTACTGTGGTCGGAAAATTTGGTTTCTCGTATTTCATATAATAATTTATGCTATTTACTCACTATAAAAGTTTTCACTCAGCCTGTTTCACTTGCAAGGACACACAATCCCCCTGCATAAAGGTGTTTTTAAGGTTTATTCATAACATTTTACTGTTTAACCAAAGTGTCTGTAATTTATTTTGACTCTGACTATTTTCCATTATTGTAAGTAAAGAGGAACGAACGCTGCTCAGATCAGATCAGGGCTGATTACCGAGCAATAACGGCCGTATGATGGACTGTTCTCTCTTTGCAAAGATATAAAAATAAAGTACCGACTGAGTGAAATCCAGTTTATTTAACTGGAGCAAATAGTTATACTTTTTTCCCTCTACAAATGTTACTGGCCTCTACATGAAAGGCCAGAATATATCTGTCGTTCTTTCTGAGCCTTAATAAAATTTCAGCAGCAGGTGCAATGAGCAGACATAAACAGAGGTGGCGCCATCACACATCCATCGACTCAGCAGCTACATCTGAACGTCTCGGCAGCTTTAACTCCCGCTTCAGTGAACACCAACTATCATACTGTATTCTCTGTGCTGTTCACTTTTTCTGTTACATTTTTTCACATTACTTCGATTTCCTCAATGTTCACACTTTGCTGACATGTGCTAATTGGCTACTTCCTTGTTTACCCCCGGCACACATAGCCTGGATGCCATTCCAAACTTAGTCCCGCCCACAACGTTTGAGGTCGGGAAGTTCAGTCTGGCATTGCTCAATAGTAGCGCGAGTATGCTAGCACAATATCTGGCGGGCCAATCAAATTGTCAGGGCGGGCTTTATACGATGATGGACAGATGATCAACAGTAACGTAATCAACCACGTCACCAAAGCGCGCTTGGGTGACAACAACAATGGCTGCCGCTGGAGAGTTGAGGTGAGTAGATTCTGCTATTAGGTCTGTTCTAGAAGATATCGACAGCAAATTAATTTTAAAAGAGGAACAGAGAAACGCGATCAAGGCTCATCTTCTTATTATAGGCGTGAAACTGCACGCTTTGATTTTTGTTGACAACAACTATGCCTCGCTTAACATACGTCACGCACTCCGTTGCTCTTATTGGTTGTAGGTCTATCCAATTGAGTGCAGAGGCATTTTTTTTCCTGGTTCGTTCGAAACACGCCCCATAATCACAGCTCTATGGAGCAGCATCAGACTCATTCTGACTAGGATTGAGTCGGACTACGTCAGGCTACTGCACACATGGGAGGATGAGAGAATCTTAAGAAAAGCTTCGTATGCAACCAGACTGAGTTTCTGGAGCATAACTTAAAAAGGTTAAATAAACTGATTTAGCACTTTTAACCCTTTACAGGGCAAGTTAGCATTCTATATCACTTGCATATGGAGACCTCCCCCCCGTCCCTCAGTGAGGTCTAGAAGCACAAGATCTATATCCAGCCATGGCTGCACATCTGATTTTGGCATTTGACCAATTAGATGAGCCATTGAATGATAGATTACCTACCGGAAATTAAGTTAAAAAAAAGTTAATGAGTCAAGAAAAAAAGGTAAAAAGCTAATTGAAAAGTTAAAAAGTAAAGTTAAAAAGTTAATAAGCCTAGTTAACAATTATATTTAGATTTATAAACTAAAACGTTCCAGTATCAGCATTAATGCCTCTAAGGCTATCTTGTACCAAAAAAAAAAAAAGTGTTTCTTTCACTCTTTTCTTCTAGAAGGACTTTTGTTATTTTTCTTAATATATTCGGGCAAGTTGGCGTTTCTTCTTATTACATTGACATTCATTCTTGCCATCAAAATATCCATATTTTTTTTAATGCTAAACGTAATAAGGTTTTGTCCTGGATTCCGATAACACTATTGACTGGAAATTGTGATTTTCAAAAAGAGTTGATGAGTATTAATCTGGCAGCAGAGCTCAACAAAACAAAGAGAACTGATGGGAATCTACAGAAAAGACAGTTGGCAACTTAGTGAAAGATTAGGTAGAAAACGGTAATGAAGAAATGGAAAGTAATGAAAGTATTGAGAAAGATGGAAAGATCATTCAATGGATTTATGAGCAAAGGAACAAAGAACAAAAAAAAAACAGCCTTTTCCTCAGTATCAGGTTTCCTGTTTGGGATTATTTCAGTTATTTTTGGACAAACATTTTTTCCATCCGGCTTCCATATGAGCGCCCACTCACTCTGAACCTCCTCCTGGTGATCCGACCGCCCTGATCCAGGCCCCGGCGCTGCCCCGCTGTCACGGGAGCCGCTGGCATTAAAGGTTCAATGACAACTTTATTAGAGGTGAGGGTCTGGAATCCTAACCAATTATTAAGCCTGAATAAATGTCACACTCATTATTTCCAGAAAGCCGTGAAATTGCAGTCGATTCTCCATGAATAATCTTCCTTCCAACAATGTTCAGCTGCTCGGTGCATGAGATTCATTTAAAAGTGAGTGTATGTGTGAAACAATGGTGTGTGCTGGATGCTATGACTAAAGCTACACTCAGGCCCGTTTCACAACAACCTAATAGAGCTTCTGTAAAGGTGCATAAACTTCATTTGGGCTCCACTGTTATTTTATTTAGCTGCAGGTTTTGGTGTGGAGCAATCAGTCAGATGTCAGGCCTTAAGGAGCTGCTGGTGCAGCACATCGATTTGGACGGAATAACAGAGAGGAGAGCAGAGGAGGAGAGAGGCGGAAAGAGGGGAATTCATTTACACCAGGACGCAGGGTTCCCATAAGGCAGGGGCAGATGTGATTTTATTCTTTAATTAGAATGTGTAGTTTTTGATATTCCCCAGCGGAAAGGATGGAGCACAATACGAGAGTTAACTTCAGAACAATGTGTTGCATAATAGATCTTCCAGATCCTGTTCTCCAGATGGACGAAGAAGACGTGATGGCAGTAACTAGAAGTAGGCAGGTTCACGGGGGTGTCTGAAGGGAAATGCTACCGTCAGCTGCCTCCTCCATCAAATCAATGAAGTGAAATTAGGATCTTTGATGCACCATGCAGAAATCTAGTCACCTTAGCTACTTTCCTGGGGTGGGTTTGAGATCAATCGATGGGTCTGATCCTCTAAGATTCCTTTTTAAGCATCAATCTTTGTACTAAAATATTCTTTCCGTCATGATTTGTGGACATTAAGATCTAAGGAGAAGCGCCATCTCCTGGTCAGACCCTGTAATTCAGTGAAAGGGTGGAGTCATATGCACATCCAGGAGAAGGAGGGGGTCACAGGAAGTGGCAGGAA